CCGCATATATTAGAATCGTTTCTATGAATCCTAGCTTAACAACGGCTTAGAGATTGCACCGCGATGTTTGTACTCTGTCAGACGCTAATCGAGGAAGCAGCCTATCGAGGCATCCGTTTAAACATTTAATCGCCCGGCAATGACGCGGCTAGAGTGACATTTAAGCCCGCGATTCAACAATTACCGACTCTATCTCTTCGCTTGTCACCGTTAAACATTCCCCAAACAATCCGCACAACAATCATTTAAAACATAAACTTACCGTTCGCGCGCCACAGCGAAACTAGCGCACGTCCATCCTTGAACGCGCATAACTTCCGGTAAAAAAGGTCATACAACATTTTGTCCGATCCCATTTGAAAGGCCAAAGTCTCTACTTTTTGATGGCCTGAAATGGTTATTTTTTAAAATTCTGTTTTCCCTAAATTTTGAGCGGTGAAGTGAAAATGTTAGTTTTCTGAGAGTTTCTCAGATTTGATCGTTTGTACAGCGATTGATAAATTTTGATTATGATTGGAACTTACGCGCACTTGAAGATTGGAGATTTCTCTTTGCAACGAGTCCAAGAAAGTCGTTTTACGTTCGTTTGTTACCGTTTTATCGCGGTTTGAATGAGAAGCAACGTCGTCGCAAATTGATCAACGTTCAATCGTTAACCGATCGGTTATTTGTATAAAAATTTGTTTCGGCTGTTTCGTCATTTTAATTCGATCAAAGAATGTCTAATATACGCTTCCTGATCATGTCGGGTTGCCATAATCGAGCGCAGAACGCTGGTTGTTGAACAATTAAATGTTGAGCAACTGAGATACCTGACTTGATCATGTGGTATCTTTTGTGTTTGTGCTAAAAGCATTTTCCAATGGTCGAAGGATGCGGTTAAAGATGGCGATCATTGAAATGACCATGGTAAATGTCGATTATTATCGGAAAGAATAGGAACCTTGGCAACATAATTGCGTAATTGTTTCCTCTTTAATATTGTGGCTGAAAATGTGATAATAAAACGATTAATTTTATAACCTTGGTTGCGCGAAAGGATTGTAAAACAATCCTAATCAAACAGCGCTAGAACGACTGTAAACAATTTTCCAAAGCACTAGGGAAATTTCAGTGTCAATATTTGACTATTTTAGTCGCACTTTAACTTTCTCAAATTTTAAAAGCGTCTTTGTTCAGTTAGAAAATTGCGTTAACTTGAAATTTTATGTTCAATTAGAAATTCGTGTTAAGCCAAATAATTCCGTTGAAATACAGAATTCTGTACAACTGAAGAATTCTAATAGTTTAAAGAATTGTTTTAAATTGAAGAATCGTATTAACTTAGAAAATTATGTTAAATCAGAAAATAGTGCTGAATTGAAAAATTGTGCGAAACTAAAAATAAATTGTGAAGCCGCTAATATCCGTCTTTCAGTTTTCTTGCATCGCTCATCATCACTTAACTTTAATCCTATTATCTACGGCTATTAATGTCCGTCAAGTATCGCTTTTCACCAACAGTTTTAATTTTCGCTCGAACTATTTTTAATCGTAAACGAGTCTTGCGCAATAAATTCTTGCGCAATAAATTTTGTGCTAAAAACGTTATGCTGAAACAGTGGAAATATAATTTTCTGAGAAAATGATATCTGCTCTGTTTCAATACAGTTTCTTGCTTTCGATTTATCTGTATTATCGTAGCTTAATTCTCATTACGTGTTTACTGTCTTTTTTTTACGCCTGTGACAGGTAGGAATATTTTTGTTCCCGTTGATACCAAAATATGGTATACTAATCGGGTGCACAAGTGAAAGTATGTATGTAGAATTGTTAAGCAATGTCAGTAATTAAGCTTCTGTATCGTGTGGGCACTTAAATATACCATTTTCATTCGATTAAATTAACTGTTTGGTAAATGTGTTTAGATCTTTCAGACTTAATTTATTTTAAATAGCACTGTGATATTTATTTTCTGACATATTTATGATGCATGTGGCATTCTTAGTGAAATATTTATACTGCAATAATGCTATTTTTAGTAAAATATTTTTACTGCAATAGTACCATTTTTAGTAAAATATTTACACTGCAGTAGTGCAATTTTTAGTAAAATACTTATACTGCAATAATATAATTTTTGTTACGATGCTATTATAAATAGAACATGTGGCCGAAGAAATATTTTATTTATTTCAAGCAGCACTGTGTACGTAGTTGCTTCTTGAAAAGTACCATTTTCAGTAATTTCATTTATCTTAAGTCGATGATTTTTATTTATTTTACTGACATTTTTTTTAAAACACTGTTTCTTTTGCACAATCTGAGCGCCAATTAGGGAGAATTTACTGTAGTTCGAGTAATACTGCGAATTAAATATGATCAGATGTTCAGAACCATCTAATTTAATCTAAAATGGAAAAGTGCAATCTTCAAACGAATTACTTCACATTAATATCCGAAGATAATTCTGCGATTATAAACATCGATTACAAAAATGATATAATTTTTGTACACGAACACTTTACAGCCCGAAGGAATTTCAAGTATCATTAGAATAGTAATTGAACGTGAGATAAATCGACGAGCACGACGACGCAGCAAATCGTCGTCGTTCGTCGCGCATTAATGGATTAACGTTAGTCCACGGGTTCTTCTTATCACATCGTGGCGCTAATCCCGACAGGAGTGCATTGTCTCCTCTCCTGGCACTCCTTACTAAAAGGAAAAAATAGAAAAAGAAAAAAAAATATAAAAAGAAACTAGTCCCATCCGCTTGCGGTGAAATCCGTTAATCGGAGATCCTCGATAAAACCGTCGAAGGATTAAGGGTATGCAGGCGATGTCGTCACGCTTCTCGCGTGGCAGCAGCATGATTAGGTAAAATAACAATTATCGCAGAAATTCTATAAATTGAGAGGTCACTGGGAAGTGCAGGAGATACTTGGCTGTCAGTGTCCAGCGAAGTGGAAATCCCCGTGGGATGAGGTGGGTTTGCAGTTCAAATTTTCATGTTTGAGACTGTTTGTTAAATTGTATTAACACAATCGTTTAGAATCGTTGCATTACATTTGTAACGCATGATTCCTCTTATCCTGGATGAGCTTTTGGCACATTGAAATCTGTTTGAATGTGAATTTCGGTGTTTGTGGCGTTTTGCGCGTGAAGATTCATCGAAACCTGTGAAAATTTTACTAATTTAGATTGTTAGAATAGTTCGATTACATTTTAATACACGATTTCTTTAGTTTAAAAAGTTTTTAGCACGTTGAAATTGGTTTGAAGATGAGCTTCGTTGTTTGAGGACGTTTGCGCGTGAAGATTCATCGAAACCTGTGAAAATTTTACTAATTTAGATTGTTAGAATAGTTCGATTACATTTTAATACACGATTTCTTTAGTTTAACAAGTTTTTAGCACGTTGAAATTGGTTTGAAGATGAGCTTCGTTGTTTGAGGACGTTTGCGCGTGAAGGTTCATCGAAACCTGTGAAAATTTTACTAATTTAGATTGTTAGAATAGTTCGATTACATTTTAATACACGATTTCTTTAGTTTAACAAGTTTTTAGCACGTTGAAATTGGTTTGAAGATGAGCTTCGTTGTTTGAGGACGTTTGCGCGTGAAGATTCATCGAAACCTGTGAAAATTTTACTAATTTAGATTGTTAGAATAGTTCGATTACATTTTAATACACGATTTCTTTAGTTTAACAAGTTTTTAGCACGTTGAAATTGGTTTGAAGATGATCTTCGTTGTTTGAGGATGTTCGCGCGTGAAGATTCATCGAAACCTGTGAAAATTTTACTAATTTAGATCGTGTTAGTATAGTCAGATTATATTTGTAACACATAGTTTTCTACTTTAACAAGTTTCTAGCACATTGTAATGAGTTTGAAATTAAATTTCAACGTTTGACGACGTTCGTGCGCAAGAAATTTTCGAATCGTGTGAAAACCTTCGAATTTATATATTTCGGAATTCTGTTACTTTTCCTGTCAATTAATTCACTTAGAATGCAATGGAATATTTTAAATTATTTCTCTTAGATTGAAATAGTTTTATTAATGGGATAGATTACAGTCTGAATCATGATCGAATTATCGAAGAGAGAGCGAGAGAGAGAGAGAGAGAGAGAGAGAGAGAGAGAAAGAGAGAGAAAGAGATTATAATCTTTTCGAGGAGGATAAACATTGAGTTCACTTGAGAGTTGAGAGCTACCTGTGCAAACTGGTTTGCTGGGTTACGCAAACCTTGGACATAGTGCAGCGAAGCTTATGCAATCGCGACAAATCGGAACGGAGGAGGACCCTTTCACGCCAAAAGGATCCGTGTCAACGGCAGGTACCGAACAGTGGTCTGTCCACAGAAAAAAAAAACTGAGTGATGGTCTCGAGGCATCTTCTCAGTTAACCGATTTGATTCACTGTACAAAACACTCATCGTTTTTTAAAAATTTCCTAAGAAATTAGCGTGTCCAAAGAATTGATAATGTTTACCTGTACAATTTTACGTCATCGGAGAAAGTTTTTTTACTGTGCTTGAGAGAACTAATATGTTCTAAATAATATGATCATTTAATTATATTTAATTTGACTGTACTTAATAATGACATTTTTTGTTGTAATTGCTATATTCAGCTATGACATATTTATATTATGATTGTTACTTTTAAATATTATTATTAATTATATTTTACTACCTTTCTATCAATATTTCGATTTATAATTTTAATTATTGTATTCTTATACATATTATATATAATTTTATTATTCGATTTTCTATTCATTTTATCACATTTTACCAATCATGTTATTGATCGTACAATATTTGTATTTAATATCATTAATTATGATATTAATGATAACGAAACATTAAGATAAGATGTCTGAATATTGGCAGGGCACTTAAAAGTGGCAAGATTTTTCTTAAGTAGTAAGATATTCCAGGTAACCTAAGAAGGCAGTTTGCTTGAAAAATAAATGTTATTACAGAATAAACGATGCCATTTTCGCCTTTTAGGAATGGAGAGAAGAGTTTGCCAGTGGAACAGAACGGTAACGCCGACGTGTCTACAATATCGAAGTTTCGCCAGGCGTTGCCACAATGTTCAGCAGTTTGCGCGAAGAACCTTCTGATGTTGACCTTTGGGTCCACACTGGGATTTTCCACGATCCTGATCCCGGAATTGCAGAAGGAGGACTCGGAAATCCCAGTTAACATGGAGGAACTAACATGGATCAGTGAGTCTGCTAATTGAGCTACACAACAGATGCCAGGGTTACAGAATTACCACCTAAACCGATCATGCGATATCGTTACAAATACTTTTCAAGTGAAACAAGAAGTGATTTAAAACTGGTTTTATAATAGCTAATTTTTAAAATTTAAGATCTTAAAACTGGTTTTAATAACTAATTTTAAAGACTCAAGTTCCTAAAGCTGGTTTTAATAACTAATTTTGAAGACTCAAGTTCCTAAAGCTGGTTTTAATAACTAATTTTACAAACTTAAGTTCCTAAAACTGGTTTTAATAATTAATTTTACAAACTTAAGTTCTTAAAACTGGTTTTAATAACTAATTTTAAAGACTTATGTTCCTAAAACTGGTTTTAATAATTAATTTTAAAGACTTAAGTTCCTAAAACTGGTTTTAATAACTAATTTTACAAACTTAAGTTCTCAAAACTGGTTTTAATAACTAATTTTACAAACTTAAATTCTTAAAACTGGTTTTAATAACTAATTTCAAGGACTTATGTTCCTAAAACTGATTTTAATAACTAATCTAAAAAACTGAAGTTCCTAGTACTGGTTTTAATAACTAATTTTAAAGACTTACGTTCCTAAAACTGGTTTTAATAATTAATTTTAAGGACCTAAGTTCTTAAAACCTTGAACAACATATTGCCACCGTATTTTGTAATAATTGCGTGTTCATAATCTGTACAGGTAGCTTGAATCTCTTCCTGGTGCCCATTGGTTGTTTCGTTAGTGGGCCAGTGTCGCAGTATCTGGGTCGAAAGAAGACAATGATGATAATCAACATACCCTTTATAATATCTTGGATTATCTTCTATTATGCTACCAGCGCCGCTATGCTGTTCATCGCATTAGCTTTGTCAGGCTTAACCGGTGGTCTACTCGAGGCACCTGTGATGACCTATGTAGCAGAGGTGACACAGCCTCATCTACGTGGCATGCTGTCCGCCACGTCGAGCATGTCGGTTATTCTGGGTATCTTCACCCAGATGTTGAGTGGGAAGCTGACTAATTGGAGAACAGTGGCCCTGATCAACTTAACGTATCCAGTGATCTGCCTCATGGCTCTCTGCTTGGTCCCAGAGAGTCCATATTGGCTTGCTGGTGAGCTTAGTTCTCTCTTGGCAATTCCCGAGGTCTGGTTCAGTTTAGCGAAACGGCAGGTCAACGTTTAAAAAAATAAAAAAGATTTCCACAAGCAAGATTAGAAAAACTCGCTTATCTCGGATCTTATTCGTATCTCCTGAACAATCGTTTAAAAACATTTTTATCTCAGCACGATAGACTCCTTATCCCGAAATAAAATATTGAATTAATAAGAACCCGAAATAAAATATTGACTCGTATACAATTGATTTTATGTTCCAGCCAAAGGTAAATTGAAGAGAGCCGAGAACGCTCTGTGCTGGCTCAGAGGCTGGGTGAGCCCGACCGAGGTGAAGGCAGAATTTCAGCACATCTGCCACGTGGTTCACAAACCGGCAGAGACGCGACCGAAGGTCTGGAAGGAGTTCAAGAAAAGAACTTTCTACATGCCCTTCCTTCTGGTCACTTGGGCTTTCTTCGTCGGGTCATTCGGCGGCTCCATAAGCCTGCAAACCTTTGCCGTGCTTGTGTTCGAAAAGCTAAACGCACCTATCGATCAGTACACAGCTGCAGTGATCCTTGGTCTAGCGCAACTGCTTGGCACACTGATCTGTGTGTTCGCCATACACTTCACCGGAAAGCGGAAGTTAAACTTTTTATCCATCGGAGGCACTGCGTTTTGCTTTTGTGCAGCGGCCATCTATGGGTGCTTGTACGATAATGGTATAATCGATGGAGAGAGCTTGAGATGGTTGCCTACCACCTTACTGATCGGTTCAGCCTTCCTGTCTCACGTTGGTATTCGATTACTGCCATGGATACTTGCCGGAGAAGTTTTCCCGGTGCAGGTAATTTTTGCGGTTTGCCACGAAAACGATGACTCGCCTCAGTCGCATAGCTGTACTAAAGCATTTTCCTAATTGTCGACCAGGTGCGAAGCAGTGGAACAGGAGCTGCCGGCTCCATCGGGTACATCTTCACCTCTATCGCCAACAAGACCTTCCTGTACATGATGAACGGAATGACTCTGGTTGGCACTTTCTTCTTCTACGGTCTGATAAACATCCTAGGTGGTCTTGTACTCTACTTCGTGTTGCCGGAGACAGAGGGTAGGACTCTCAAGGAGATAGAGGACCACTATCTGGGCGTGCAGAGCTTGAAGCACAAACCAAAGAAAGAATCCATAGCGATTAAGGAGAAGTGGGCTGCTACAAACACGGTTATGGTCTGCGACGACACCGAGAGCAAATTGTGAAACGAAAGAACTTAAAATTACGGTCTCACCAAATGGGCGATGAGTGACTTTACATTGAATGTAATCGTTTCGCCTTGAAGTTCCTTGTTTGTTTTAGGACAAGCAGCGCAGCTGTTTTGATTTAATTGAGAATGAAGGTTGTGGCGTAAGCTATAAGGCAGGTTTGATGAGAGAAAGTGGTGGATACGTCATTTTGCGAGTAGCTTGATCAGAACAGTTTTATCTCTATTTCGAATAGTTTTGTTAAATATAAGAGAATATTTTTTATACTGCGAACCCGTGAGTTTGTCGAGTGATACTTTTGAAAAATAAAATGTAAGTTACGTTATAGAGGACAAAATGGTGGTAATGAGGGAAGCTGAAGAATACCGTTGGACTTATAATTACGTTTATTCAGGTATTTGCAATTCCGTTTGGGACAAATTACACTTCGGCGAACTTGAGACATTGTTCCGAATCGAAACCGCCGTCTTCAAAGGAGACTTTCTGGTGTTCGACTTCTTCTCCCGTGATTTCGCCTGCAATTGATTATTCATGCTTGGCTTGAAGTATTGATCGACCACGTTCAGGAAGTTCTCGTGCAGCAAGATGTCCACTAGATCGACGATCTTCTCGGGCACCTGCGGCATCTTAAGACTCCGCTTGCTAATCTTTTCTCTTCTCCCCCTTTTCGTTGATTCACTCGTGCCCTTGCATTTCCTGAGATCTGGAGAACTGTTACGTAAACGAGACAAAAAGAATATTAATTAGGGAATCGTCATTCTAAACAAAAAAAAATTTTTTTCTAAAATATTAGCAACAAATGCATTGTAAAAAAAGTACAAATTAAAGTTCACATTTGCAGTTGGCATCACTGGGAACAACCAGCGGATAACATTTAAATGTGTAAATCAGACATCGTAGGGAAGATATGCGTAAAACGTTACTGACAAAAATTTTCGTTTCCTCGTTGGGAACCAGTTTATCAACATTTACTCGAATTTTTCGATGCTTCGATCACGGTGTCCCCGTTTGATCAAGAATTCCTCGTGACTGGATTCCGATTCCAAGACCAGTTTCTCCGCTTTGCACCCGACGACCTCGCCGCAAACATTGTGCCGCGGCATGATTAGAACATAAATTTTATAAAATCGCAATCGATTACAAAACCTCCGGAAATTTAACAAGCCACCGAGACTTAACCGAATAAACAAATGAGAACGAATCCCGGCTCTCCATATACGGAACATTTCAGACACCCCCCACTCCATCGATTTTTAAAAGATCATCAACTCCCGCGCTTCCTGCTGTACCATCCGACGGTCGATAGCTTACCGACGGCCGGCAATACAGGACGCGGCGCGCTAGGCTTCGCGACAAGCGCGTGCATAGTCGTAGGCATCGGCGGTATCGGCGATCAACAAGTGTCCTCGAGCGAAGATTCCGCGTCCGGATGGCGGCATATTGATGTCGGCCGGGTTGCCCGTGGCGCAGGCGCGGCCTTCCTCGGGATTGGCCGGAGGACGGGCGGGGGTCCACGAAATGGTCGATATTCTAGCTATAGCGGGGTACAGTGGCGCGCGAGGCTTTTACCGAGGCCAGTCCAGTCTCTTTAAAGTCGTCGCGGATACCAACCCCCGTCGGTTGCTGCTTGTTATTTCACGTCGGTGTACCGTTCTCTGGGACACCGTGTACCGCCTGGAGAACAGGAACACGACTTTCGTCGAGCCGTGGTGCAGGACCGGAAGTGGCAGCGCGCGGTGTGCTAACCCCCATTCGCTGACCAACCGTGAGAAGATCATCCTTCGCAGGAGGTACTCGTCGTCGACGACTCGTCGGACGGGAACGCGACGGACTCGTGTTGCGTGTACCTGTGCTTTCAGGACACCCAGAGCACCGTCACCTCGAGCCTGAACATTTCTGTCCGACCAGCCAGTCCGTCGATAGACTGCTTATTGATTTCTCTCTGTCCTCCATTTCTGTCTCTCTCTCTCTCTCTCTCTCTTTCTCTCTGCCTCTGCTTCTCTCTCGCTCTTTCTCTCGTCTCTTCCTCTCTGGTGCTGGAGAACCACCCACGCACTTTTCGCCTTCCATTATTCCACCGAACTGCTAAACAGAGTTTTCGGTCCTAACGTCCTCGAGACCACACGCTGATCTTCTCGCGAAGGGTAGTCCCGGTGAGAATCATCGCAGACGAAATCGTGACCGAATCAGACATGGTTGCCTGGGTCCATCTTGGGATTACCCTAACGGAAACAATTTTCGCGCTCGAGTCCTCTTCGTCCTAGAGCAAAAGTCATACCAATCGTCGACATCAGTTCTCGGTTCTCTCCTTTCGTTTCGGGGCTTGTGATTCCCCCGTGGTCCGTTTCCACGTTTCGCGGACTCTCCTTTCCGCCTATGTCACGGACTACGCTTTTCGAAACTGTGGACTCATCAGCAAGGTTGCCCTAGTGGGAACAATAATCTCGGAGATCGAGAGCCTCCGTCGTCTCACCTGTGTTCTTTAACAGCTTCGTTCCTCGGCACCGTCACGTCGCTGTTTTCAGCTGCTGGGAACACCGTATATATGATGGACTTACAAAACAGAATTCGTCGACGTAAAACGAAATCGGACGAGGCATTGTCGTAGGATCCTTCTTTTTGGGGGTTAAGTGAACGCGTCGAAGGATCGAACGGAAAGGTGATCGAAGAGGTTGGCGGTGTTCGATAGGAGCCGGAGAACGCGAGAAACGATTCTCCGTCTGTTGGACTGTCGGCGACGGCCAGGTATTTATCAGTCGCGGTATCAGGGTATCCAGCGTATCGATTCGGACGGCTTTTTCGGGATCCAGATTCGAGCGTCACGATGTGCTCATACAGAGGCTCCATCTTCCGTCCACGCTGATTCCGCCAGCCGCTGAAATCGAAACTATGTAACGCGCGGCGCGTGGGTGGTCAGGGGTTAGGAATCGATCTTCCGAAAATATTTGCTCTGTTGCCTACCCCCTCTCTCCCCTACTAGCCGCTCTCCCCCTCCAACACCTTCTCGTTTATGGCGCAACATAATCGACGAGACCAAGATTCAGTTTTCCCGATGATATTTCCGCCATTTTTATGGATGACTTCCTATTGGCTCCCAAACTTCCGGAGCTTGAGTAGCATCAGGGCATCTCCGGCATCGTCGGGACTAGCTCCTGCGCCGATCCCGGAGATTAGGGGTCTCGATGTAGATGGATCATTCTGTAGAGAAAGGTATAAGTGTAGCTGGACTTTCGATCAAGAAATTGGTTTAACGTAAACTTGATGTTAACCTTGACAATCCTGGCAGAGAAATGATCGGCGACTTATTGGCCGGAAAGCGGCGTTGACTTTGAAACTGTAATCAACGAGGCAAATCCCGACTCGATGAGCGTCTCATGAATTTTTATCGCCTATTACCGGTAATGGCGGTAACTCTATGTGTTCTGGATAAAGAGGTGCATACTGTTTATGGAAATTTTTACCAAAATTCTCTGAAGACAATGTTGGGAAACTATTTTCACAGAAATTGTTGCTACAGCTCACCGTAAACGATGCTGCGAAGTAACGTTTTCTTAAATTTTTTCTATTGAAATCCAACATGACCGATGACAAAGAAACAATGTTCGATACGATTGTTACTGAAATTCTCTAGAGTCGATGTTAAAACATTATTTTCACGAAAAACTTTTTGCTAGAATTTTCACTGTGTACGATGCGACGAGGTAGTATTTCTTAAATTGTTTACTTAAATCGGATATGGTCGATTGGAGAAACATGTCCCAATACCATTTGAACTACTTTGGACAAAGGAGGATCAAGTAACAGAGATAAAGAAGCTGCGGTAAAAGAAGCAACGACTTATACCAACCAGATCAATTTATAAACAAGATCAATTTATAATCGTCGAAATCATTGTAAAATTTCAATGTAAAATTTCAACGTTAAATGCAACAGAAAGATCCAGTGTCCTGATTGACACGTTCGATACCAGCGTCGCACATGTGCGACGACCTCGATTTTACGTTTCACGTGAAGAACATCGAACGAATTTTCTAAACATAATTATTTAAAATCGTCACGCATAGTATATGATATTTAGAGAATGTATGACAATACTTTTTGACGAAGTTTTTATCATACTTCATAAGAGGTTACTTTATTTATTTAATACGATAAATAGGTTATGTCAAGGTGTTAAGGATAAGCTACGCCAAAATTAATTATTAAATTATTACTATTATTACTATATAATAATAATAATAATAATAATAATAATAATAATATAATACTATATAATAATATTACTATACAATAATTACTAAATTATTAATTACGATCCTACTGGAACTATTGTCCCAACGCAGCCCTTGCCTCGAAATGGCAAACAACACCGTAACACGTTCAGACTCGACGAACATTCACGACTAGTAAAATTTTAATTAACAATGACAGCAAAATACAGTCAACGCCACCGCAAGCTCGGTTGAGATAAAGGAATAACGGAGTTGGAAATGTTTCGAGATGGTGCATTTCGAAACCGTAAGGTGGCGTTAAATGCATCAAAATCGAATTTTTTTTTTTAACCAGTCGATAAAGATCGGATCGTTATCGGGACAGTTTCGATGATATTTTGCCGCATATTTGGACCGAACTACCCTGCGACGGCGTCGTCGTCGTCGTCGTCGCGTCGAAGATGCAATTGTGTGCAGCACGAGAGAGCTGCACGACAACGTTAACATATGGCCGGGCGATATGATTATCGCGAACCTTGTCCCACTTTTTTTCTCTCGCCACCGCGTTTTGTGAGCGCTGCGCGTGGGTGCTCGACACATTTTTTTCCCGCGAAAACCGTTTCCCGTAGTTTCGATACCGTCGACTACAGGTTGTCGAACTTCCGGTTCTCGGGCAGCCACACCGGTGACAGGCGTAAACAGGATTTTTTTTTGTTGGAGCCGTGACAAATACTGTTTCCGTCGTGGTCTGAATTATGTTTCCGGCTTTTGGCAACCTGCATGCCTCTCCGACTCCGCTGTTGGCGGGCCTAATATCCCCAGTCCCTATATGTATGTCCCTAGGGATAGGAATATCCCTAATTATCTTAATTTGTTATTGGCTCCCTAATTGGCCAAGGTTAACGGCCAAGAAACGAATTAAAAAATTAGCAGATAATTTCGTTTCGCGATAATCGTAAAAGAGAAATTATTTTTCAGAGCGTAGGAGCTATTTTAGCGGAAAATGGCAGCGCTTTTCTTTCTTGAAAAATGGAGGCATTTTTTTTATCTATCGAGAAAGAACCGGCTCTTTTATCGATGACAAGGTTCGAAGGTCCATTCCAAAATTGTCCATTTTTGTTTCCAAGCTGAGCATCAATTAGGGAGAATTTACTGTATCTTAGCGGTCTAAAACGTGCACTTAAAATCAAATGTTTTGAACTTTAATTTCAAAATTTTAATTTCATAACGTTATGTCAAGGTTATGTATATTCAATCGCCGGACAGCGGATCTTTATGCAAAATAAAAATTTTGATCAGCAATTGCAAGAAACTAGTGCTGAATAAAAATGTAGTTCATCTTTTTAAAGTTTCAAACGATCGCAAATAATGTGACAGTGTTCTTAAATTCTTTCAATATTTTCACTATTCTGTATTTCTCTTGTCAATTTCTACAATGGATAAATAAAATCCGTTGTTTACTAATTATTTTGTAACGTTATATTTATAGAGTTATCCGATGAAAGTAGTACTCTAAATTCTCCCTAATTGACGCTCAGCTTGGAAATAAAAATGGACAACTTGGGAAGAAGAAATACTATTATTATTCAACAAACCTTGACATAACCTTAACAACTATAAAGACGAGCCGCAAGGTACATTTAATCGTATCTCTCCTCTTCCCAATCTGAGTATCAAGTAGGAAAAATTTATTATCTGTACATTTATTTCTAAACTATTCCACGAACGCCTGTAGCTTTGAAATCTGAATTAAGGAAACGCAACGCGAAATGAAAGAATTACTTATTGCGAGAAAGCATGAGTTTTTGGGTCTTTCATCCATTTTACTTTCTTCTATTTTTATTATTAGCAAAGGAAAAATAAAATAAAAACGAAAATTATTATTTGGCGAAGGAAAACTTTTCGATTTATACGAAGTTGAAATATTTGTTTAGTGCTCATAGTGCGGTAAATTCACTGCAAATTGTCCCTCAGCTTGTAAATAAACAAATGGACAATTTGGGAGTCTCCTTTACTGTATTTTGATAACGTTACCTCGCACTCTCGTGCACCGATCTCCTAATAAAGTAAATCGCGGCAGATCTCTTAGAAAATTTGCCAGAAGGAAATCTCGTGTTCGTGTAATTGTTCGTTTGCCATTGTACATTGTTAAAGGGTCCGGGGATACGTTATCGGGGGTAGAATAGATCGTGCGTTTAACACGGCGACAAGTCGATTGGCTTTTAGCGGGACAAAGGACCTTTTAATTTCTCTTCTCGTTCGGCGAGCATCCTAGAAATAAGCGAGGCAGAAATGATAAAACTTGAAAATCCGAGGGAACTCCGGAGTTTGCCGCTATACGACTCGAGCGCGAGATCGATAAGAACTCCCCCCCACCCCCGTCGAAAAAGTTCGCAGTGTCTGTGGCTCGGCGTCGTTTATTTATAGTCCTCGTTGCTGCCACTCATTTTTAGGCATAACCGCACTCGGCTGTGCAGCTGATCGTCTGGATCTATAGCCATCCACTGTTTACTATCTCGGCAGGCGTCAGAAACCTAATCGTTCGTAACACCTGTAATATGATTTTTTAATTTTCTTTTAAATTCGGCATGCTCTCTCTCTCTCTCTCTCTCTCTCTCTTTCTTTCTCACACACACTCTCCCTTTTTCACTCATCTCTCTCTCTCTCTCTCTCTCTCTCTCTCTCTCTCTCTCTCTCTCTCTCTCTCTCTCTCTCTCTCTCTCTCTCTCTCTCTCTCTCTCTCTCTCTCTCTCTCTCTCTCTCTCTCTCTCTCTCTCTCTCTCTCTCTCTCTCTTTCTTTCTCACACACACTCTCCCTTTTTCTCTCATCTCTCTCTCTCTCTTTCTTTCTTTCTTTCTTTCACACATACTCTTTCTCACACACACTCTCCCTTTTTCTCTCATCTCCCTCTCTCTCTCTCTCTCTCTCTCTCTCTCTCTTTCTTTCTCACATACTCTTTCTCACATACACTCTCCCTTTTTCTCTTATCTCTCACTTTTCTCTTATCTCTCTCTCTCTTTCTTTCTTTCTTTCTCACATACTCTTTCTCACACACACTCTCCCTTTTCCACTCATCTCACTCTCTCTCTCTCTCTCTCTCTCTCTCTTTTTTTCTCACATACTCTTTCTCACATACACTCTCCCTTTTTCTCTCATCTCTCTCTCTCTCTCTCTCTTTCTTTCTTTCTTTCTTTCTTTCTTTCTTTCTCACATAATCTTTCTCACACACACTCTCCCTTTTTCTCTCATCTCTCACTTTTCTCTCATCTCTCTCTCTCTCTCTCTCTCTCTCTCTCTCTCACTCTCACTCTGAATATTTTTTGTTATTGCATTTTCGAATGCGCGACATGGCTTTATAGCGTTTCGATGAAAATAGAACGGGAGTGTCGATCGATCTCTTTAAAAACTTATGGTTTAAAAAATTCGAAGAGCATCGAAATTCAATGATAAAAATATTGGATAGAAATATAAATACAAAATTATAATGGTTCTATTTTGTCGATGCTACTTCCCTGAAACAGTGTTGCATTATTTATTTTCGGATTAGTCATTTTTGGTTAGTGCCAATTTTAGTTAGTGTCATTTTTGGTTAGTACCATTTTTGGTTAGTACCAATTTTAGTTAGTATCATTTTTGGTTAGTACCATTTTTGGTTAGTACTATTTTTCATTAGCACCATTTTTCGTTAATGCCATATTTGACTCGTCATATTTATGTCATATTTAACTTGTCATATTCGCTGCCATTTTTCGTTCGGTGCCATTTTCTTCGAACGATCCAACAGACAATTGAGAAAACCATTTAACAAACGGCTTCGTTTACCAGACAAAAAGGTGTTTTCTCCGAGTAACGGGGTCACTCTGATCAGGTTTATTAGATGGCGCTAGTTGCAGCAGTCTCCCCCCGAGGCTTGTAATTAAACCTCGCCGGCGCATCTAACCAATTGTATCCGAAACTGTTAACAGTTGGAATTACAGTTCTCGGGTAGACGGTTCCTTTGTAAACGCAGCGTTGCGATAATCTGGATTGGTCGGAATTAGAACCAGCTATTATGTACGTATGTATGTATGTATGTATCGAGAATTTCGGCAGGTCGAAGTCGTCGATCGTTGAACACGTTGCCGCAGCCGCCGCGGCACGCGCGTATTATGTATGTATTGGTTCAGGTGCAGGCTGTCAGCGTGATCCGTTTCCTTTCTCAAACAAATTCGTTCCACGTGGGCCTGCGGTTACTATAGACGCACCTGGCGCCCGGAAAAAGTCACGGACACACGCGGTGCAGCCGCGCGCGGTATCACCTCGGAAGTAGAAAATGATTAGCAATGACCGATAATGACTTGGAAGTTATGCGGGCTAGTGCGAGCGTGAATAGATTGTTTACCGGGCTGGCAATTATGCAACGCGAGCGTCATTTAACAAATTCGATTTGACGTGTTCGCATCGTGTTTCATTGTTTTACGTTTCATTATTCCGACTTTTATTTATTTCGCCTTTTTGCGAGTACGTCTGAGCTTTTTCTTTTTTAGCGAACGTGGTTTGGTACCATTTAGTTCAAAACGTTTAATAAAAATTGAAGAATTAAAGAATTGAAGAATTCTGTTAGAATGTCGTGGGGAACATAAAGCGGAGAAAATTGTAATGGCACGTTTCTTTGACTAGTTTCACTATTTAAACACATACGGTCGGTTCGAAAGCTACAAAGTTGTAAAGATAAATTTGTTGACATATTAATGTTCCTCCGAGAGCTGTCAGCTACGTTAGAGAATACAATGGCCCATATGGTGCCATTTTACAAACCAATACGATGCTATTTTTTGAACCAATACCGGTGCCGTTTTTCGAACCAATACGGTGCCATGCGGTAACTGCAAAGTTTAAAGACGACATTGTTAACAACAATGGTCCTCTGATACGATCCAACTGAGTTGAAAAAATATAATGGTCCTACTTGAGATTTTTGCCATTTTTTTGAACCGATACACCGAACACAGTACAAAGTGTAGAGACAAAATTGTTGACAACAATGGCACTTTGGTTGGTATTATTTGAGTTAAAAAATATGTAGTGATGCGATTTGCGATAAGAGCCATTTTTTAAAACAGCGCGTACAATAATGATAAAGACAGCTTTCCATGAGAAGAGCTTCAAATAAAATTCATTGTAATCCAATTTAAATAAAGTTGCTATTATTTGCGTTAAAAAATACATAGCGGTGCCATTTGTGATAAGTGCCATTTTTTAAAACAGCGCGTACAATAATGATAAAGATAGCTTTCCATGAGAAGAGCTTCAAATAAAATTCATTATAATCCAATTTAAATAAAGTTGCTATTATTTGCGTTAAAAAATACATAGCGGTGACATTTGCGATAAGTGCCATTTTTTAAAACAGCGCGCACAATAATGATAGAGATAGCTTTTTGCAAAGAAAGCTTCAAATAAAATCCATTATAACACAATTCAAATAAAATTAGTATTATTTGCGTTAAAAAATACATAGTGGTGACATTTGTGATAAGTGCCATTTTTTAAAACAACGCGTACAATAATGATAGAGATAGCTTTTCGCAAAGAAAGCTTCAAATAAAATCCATTATAACACAATTCAAATAAAATTAGTATTATTTGCGTTAAAAAATACATAGTGGTGACATTTGTGATAAGTGCCATTTTTTAAAACAACGCGTACAATAATGATAGAGATAGCTTTTCGCAAAGAAAGCTTCAAATAAAATCCATTATAACACAATTCAAATAAAATTAGTATTATTTGCGTTAAAAAATACATAGTGGTGACATTTGCGATAAGTGCTATCTTTTAAATCAGCGCGTACGATAATGACAGAGATAACTTTTCACAAAAAGAAGCTTGAAATAAAATCGTACAAAATTGCAACCGTGGATGGCCCTGCGAAGTACCATTTCTAGCCACTCCTGCGTGTGTGTGTTTGTACGCACACGATTAATACCGAGAAACCGCGATAGAAGCGTGTCTGGACGACGTTGAACACCGCCGACGAAGCGCGAAAATTAACGAAAGCGATACCGACGAGCTTACATTATCGAGATCGACGATTCCAATTGCCAAGTCGGCGACACGTCGCGTTCGACGCCGGTTCGCAAACCGTTCTCAATTAGTTCTCTCCCGAAAATCGAAAGTCGAGCAGAAGAATCATCGAACGGGAGGAGCAACATTTTCATCTCGGATCTACGATTCTCCATTGTCGAAGCAAAGAAAATCCTCCGTGACGAGGAGGAAAAGGAAATTCGGTGAAGAATGCTCGCCGAAGGAAAGAACGAAACCGGAAACGGTTGCAAGATGGCGGTGAAGGACTCTGTGCTGGAGCTGAGGACCAGGATGGCTCGCATGATGTCCATTGTTGACATATCCCCGCGGGACAGACCTTCGGTACCAGACACGTGTCCATTTTCTGGGCGCTAAGCGCAATGTTTCGAATTGGTTCGCAAAACAGTGTTCGACGCGCATAGGTTCGAACTGGTTCGCTCGGATGTGCGAGAGTGCTAGCTGCATTTTAGAGCGAAAGTAATGGCTGGCTCTCCTGGTGCTATACTTTTTTCGTGGGATTCGTTTTCGTTTCGCAAATTCTCCCTAATTGACGCTCAGATTGTGCGCGAAAATTTACAATTTGGGAAGAGGAGATACGTTTATTCAAGCTTTGCGGCTCGTTTTTATAATTGTTGACAATCGGTAACCATAAAAAACGAGCCACAAGGCTCGAATAATCGCATCTCCTCTTCCCAAATTGTCCACTTTTGTGGACAATTTACACGCTGAAAGAAAATTAGAGGAAATTTACTGTAAATTTAACAATACAATAAAGTCTCCCTAATTGACGCTCACATTGTGCGCGAAAATAGACAATTTGGGAAGAGGAGATACGATTACTCGAGCCTTGGGTCTCGTTCTTATTAAAATAACTTTCACAAAATTGTTCAACTATAAAAATGAGTCGCAAGGCTCGGATAATCGTATCTCCTCTTCTCAAATTGTCCATTATTGTTTACAAGCTGAAGCAAAATTAGGGGAAATTTACTGTAAATTTAACAATACAATAAAGTCTCCCTAATTGACGCTCCTGTCTCTTATACACATCTAGATGTGTATAAGAGACAGGAAATTTACTGTAAATTTAACAATACAATAAAGTCTCCCTAATTGACGCTCACATTGTGCGCGAAAATAGACAATTTGGGAAGAGGAGATACGATTACTCGAGCCTTGGGTCTCGTTCTTATTAAAATAACTTTCACAAAATTGTTCAACTATAAAAATGAGTCGCAAGGCTCGGATAATCGTATCTCCTCTTCTCAAATTGTCCATTATTGTTTACAAGCTGAAGCAAAATTAGGGGAAATTTACTGTAAATTTAACAATACAATAAAGTCTCCCTAATTGACGCTCAGATTGTGCGCGAAAATAGACAATTTGGGAAGAGGAGATACGATTATTCGAGCCTTGGGTCTCGTTTTTATTAAAATAACCTTGACAAAATTGTTCAACTATAAAAATGAGTCGCAAGGCTCGGATAATCGTATCTCCTCTTCTTAAATTGTCCATTATTGTTTACAAGCTGAAGCAAAATTAGGGAGAATTAATTGTAAATTTAACTATACAGTAAAGTCTCCATAATTGACGCTCAGCTTATACAGTAATGTTTTCTTAATTGGCGCTCATATTGTGTACGAAAATTTAAAATTTGGGAAGAGGAGATACGTTTATTCAAGCTTTGCGGCTCGTTTTTATAGTCCCTGATAGTTAACAATTATAAAAACGAGCTGCAAGACTCGAATAATCGTACCTTCTCTTCCCAAATTGTCCATTTTTGTTTACACGCTGAAAGAAAATTAGGGGAAATTTACTATAAATTTAACAATACAGTAAAGTCTCCCTAATTGACGCCCAGATTGTGCGCGAAAATAGACAATTTGGGGAGAGGAGATACGATTATTCGAGCTTTGGGTCTCGCTTTTATTAAAATAACCTTGACAAAATTGTTCAACTATAAAAATGAGTCGCAAGGCTCGGTTAATCGTATCTCCTCTTCTTAAATTGTCCATTATTGTTTACAAGCTGAAGCAAAATTAGGGAGAATTAATTGTAAATTTAACTATACAGTAGTCTCCATAATTGACGCCCAAATTGTGCGCGAAAATAGACAATTTGAGGAGAGGAGATCCGATTATTCGAGCCTCGTGGCTCAAAGCTGAAATAATCGTATCTCCTCTTCCCAAATTGTCCACTTTTGTGTACAATCTGCGCATCAATTAGGGAGAATCTACTGTACTCCGCCATCGTGCTGTAACGTTTAAAGTGAACATTCGTTTTTTAACGGCTCCGTAGGTCTCGACTGAAGCGGCATTTTGGTGAATCGTTTATTGTTTAATTATAGTTTTTGGTCGCGTCAGATTGCAAGTGTCGTGAGAAAATTATCCGCGCAACAATCTTTTTTTGCTGCTATTGTACCGAAGACGATGCTATAAAGTGTGGTTTTTAATTAAAAAATTTAATTTAAAATTTTTACCGATACTCGACATTGTTAACGATCGAAGGAATACTGTTCACGGAAATTTTTACCAAAATTCTCTGTAGGCAATGTTAAGAAACTATTTTCACAGAAATTATTGCTTCAGCTCCGTCGTAAACGATGCTGCAAAGCAACGTTTCCTTAAATTTTTTGTTTACTGAAATCCAACATGACGATGCAATTGTTGCTGAAATTCTTTCACTAAAATTTTTTGCTAAAATTTACTATGAACGATATGCTGCAAGGTAGTATTTCTTAAATTGTTTTCTTAAATCCAATGTGCTCGAAGATAACAATTATACAGCGACGATAAAAATTTTGTAAAATCAATAGGAAAAAGTTGTCATCGAAATTATTGTTGAAGTTTGGAAAACGGTTTGACACACATTTCAACAGTCACAGCGTTTTTTTTGCAGTAGTTGATAGAAGGTTTAGGGGTTGGTCTGATTCAAGAGAGTGAAGATACTGAATCAGGGGTTGTGCGACGGTAGAAATAGCCTGTCGAAGAATAAGGAATCGATACAGTGGAATCAAGATAGGGAATTCTAGTAGGTATCGTTTAGGGTGGACTGCGGCGCAGTGGTCTATGAATTTCGGTAGATTAGGGCTGGTAATCGGAGATTAGTAATCAACGAAAAAACCTCCGGAAGTGAGATTTAAGCTGATCGTCTTAGCGCAAATAGCGAATAAAACTAGAGTAACAAAGATTACTATAGTACCTCTATTAATTTCGTATTGATTGGTTCTATATTAAATAATTGAATAGTACATTGACTAATTCAATGGTAATTGGTTGCATATTTACTAATTCCATCGTAATTGGTTGTATATTAATTGATGAAATAGTAACTGGTTGCATATTAATTGATGTAATACTAATTGAGGTTGTATATTAATTGCTGCAATAGTAACTGGTTGCATATTAATTCATGCAATAGTAAATGGTTGTTTATTAATTAATGCAATACTAACTGATTGCATATTAATCGATTGTATATTATATATATAATTGATTGCATATTAATTGAATATTAATTGATGAAATAGTAAATGATTGCATAATAATTGTTGAAATATTAACTGGCCATATATTAACAAATTCAACAGTAACTAGTGTACTACGAATTTTATTCATTTCTGACAGAAATAGGTAAATAAAATTTAAAACCGTGAAAAAATTCGAAGAAATTAAGAATGATGATATATTAATTTGAACGAATTCAAATTCTATAAAAAAGAAACGAGACAATACTTGGCTCTTATATCTTGCATTAGATGCAGACAGATCTGATTTCGCATAAAAATCTGCAGTCTAGTAATTAGTTATATATCAACAAATTCAATACCAATTAATACTATCCAAAATCTCGTCTGATTTTCTTTATACACAAAATGATTGAAACAGAAGCGTGGGTCGCTGTGAAATAACCAAACGCTACTTCGAATTCCGTTGGTTCGAGTTTCCAGAGTCTGGTCATGTTTTTGCATAACATGAATATTATCTCTGCCGACGGAATCCGGTTTTCCAGTGAAAAATCGACACAGGAAATGGTCGAAAATCTAACCTAGTCGAAGAGGCCTGTACAGTTAGAAAGACACGAAAATTCGAGGAATATTCGCCCCGTATATCACATAAAACCGTGGAACGAGCACAGAAAATTCGTATTTTGAACGCGATAGGGGGAGATAAGGCGATACGTTTCCTTTGACCTAAAAAAGAAAGTAGGTTTCTTCGAGACAAAAAAGACGTGTGCTTTCTTTCCCCTCCCTCCTCCGCCCCGATTTGCTCGCGTGGTTGACCACCCCACCGTCCGTGGTGGAAAGATGAAGTGTCGCTTAAAAAAGCCGGCGATGGGGTGCGTGGCAGAAGAAATTCACTTAAACCGACCCTCGACTTTCTTGAGAAACCTCCTCTTGCGATTACGCGCCGTGAGACATGAAAGTCTTCGCAATTTGTCTAAAATAGTGGGTCAACAGAGCCTTGATTCCGCTGAACTTTCACCACTGAAGCGTGCTACAAAAGGCTGCACATTATATTTGCCACATCTATATTTTTTTAATTATTTTGTTATTATATTATTATTATTATTACATTATTATAATTTTATTATTATATTATATTTACATTTCACAAAATGGAAGTTCAACGTTATTTTCAATTATTATGTTGCAGAGATTTCTGCTAATTGATCTAGCCTCTTGTCGATAGACCGTGGATCTCTAATACGAAATAAAAATTTTCTTTGTCCGTTGGAATAAACAGGAGCCACTTTTTAGAAATTATTTTATTTGTAATAATTATAAATGATTATATATTATATTAATATATAGAGAGTAAAATTTT